CCACTGGAGATCCCCTTGCAGAGGGGTCTCAGGGAGGAGACGAGCCAGTCAGGGTGCGATGTAGCAACGATTAAAAAAATACAACTTTCCTCTAGTTCCAAAGTGCTCCCCCCCCCCATTATCATGATCCGAATTCTACCTTGCAAGTCTGGCTGGACCAGAGGATGTACACTGGTACAGATAGGAACTGGAAACACAGGGAATCCAGGGTGGATGATCCCTTCAGGACCAGTGGTGTGAGTGGCGATACTTGGAGTATAGAGGGAGGGTGGGTTGGAAAGGGGGAACCGATTACAAGGATGTACATGTGACCTCTTCCCTGGGGGACGGACAGCAACAAAGTGGGTGAAGGGAGACATGGGACAGGGCAAGATATGACAAAATAATAATTTTTAAATTATCAAGCACTCATGAGGGAGGGGGGAGCGGGGAGGGAGGGGAAAAAAGAGGACCTGATGCCAGGGGCTTAAGTGGAGAGCAAATGTTTTTAGAATGATGAGGGCAATGAATGTACAAATGTGCTTTACACAATTGATGTATGTATGAATTGTGATATGAGTTGTATGAGCCTCTAATAAAAGGATTGAAAAAAAAAAGAACGGGCTACCAAAGAGTTGAACTAGAATTGACATCATTGCTTCTAACCCATATATGATTTTCTGTTAGAAATAAAAAATCAGTGAAGATCTAGCCTTGGAAAGAGAAGTCAACCACTCATCACCATCGTCATACCTTAAGTTAACCATTTAAAGCTTTTTTTAACTCACTAGTTCCCTTTTCCCCATGCACTGTTAACCACTAATCTCTTTTAGTCCCTATGGATCTTCTTATTCTAGATAGTTCATACAAGTGGGATCTGGCAGTATTTGCCTGAATTACTTAACTCAGCCCATCACTTTCAGGGCTCATCCATGTGGTGGCATTTACCAGAATTTCCTAACTCTTTATGCCTCAATAATACGACTCCATTATATATAAACTGCATTTTGCTTCTCCATCTGTTGATGAGCATATGAGTTGTTTCCACCTTTAGCTATTGTAAATAAGGCTGCAGCAGATATTGGTGTATGAGTCTATTTGAGCCACAACTTTGAATTTTGGAGAGCTTAGATGTAGGAGTAGAATTGCTGAGTGTGTTAGGTTGTTTTGTATTTTAAAAAATAAAACAAAAAAAACATTGACAGTCATGTATAAGAAATAACTGTATTAAGATTGAAATTTATATCAAGGAAGTGGCCCATGGGTCAGATGCTAGCTGGACACCCTTCGAGGCTCACACAGCTGCCAATTGATGAAGTAGGATGGTGAAATGGGAAGCTGGCGATCCCATGGGTCCAGAGTGGGCAAGAACATAGCAGGGTACCCACAGCTTCCAGGGTCTGCAGGACACTTGGGCCAGCCCCAGACACCAGACACTGGATCCAAGTCAGCAGGGAGGAGAAGGACAAGAGAGTGAGGCCAGTCCTCCACAGCATCTCTTACAAACAGGTCACACCCCCAAGGAGATGTCATTAGTCTGTCCTGGCTGACGGGCGGGACTCCACCGGTACCTTCCCACAGGTGTACCAAGTTGAAACAAAGCCTAACCATGACACTGGGACATACGGGAAATAGGTTTGATATTTTTGAAGAACCACCAAGCTATTTTCCATAATGGTTGCACCACTTTACATTCCCATCAAACTTCTTGGTATTTGGTCGAAGCCTCCTGAATATTCTCTGTACCTTTTACCCCAGGCCTATAATGGGAGAGGTAAGCTATCACTGTGCAGTCGAAACCAAAAGGTGATTGGTTTGGCACTAACACCAGTGACTGCTGGCATGTTCCCCACAGAGTTTTATGACATTAACCTTAATACCGCACAGACACCCTTTTCCTCGCTACTGGATATAAAACATAACAACTTGCAAGCAAAAGCAGAAGGCTGTACTGGGGTGATAGGAGAAGAGAGATTATTTTTTATCTCCTCTGCACCTAAGCACAAGCATAGCATAGTCAAGGCTTTTCAAGGAATACGGACAGCCCATGTCGGCACCTTCGCTGAGATAGAGGGTTAAGTGGACATGTTGCCTCTGGGCTCAGTATTTGCTTCTGGAAAATTTGTCTTTTCTTTTTACTATCATTCTCTAATAAACTAATGGATCTACTTTGTAAAATAAAAGACTATGGAACTATTGCATGAGTTTATAAACCCCCTTCTGGATAAATGGTTCTTTTGATCTTTTAATACTCTTCATTTCCATCTCATTGATTTTCCAATTCCAACACAACTGTACAATAATAATAATGAAGATTTAAACATGAGACAATAGTCCTAGGCAAAGAACCAGGGATTTCGACATTTTTAAAAGATTCTATTTTTAATGGTTGTCTTACCCTTGCAAATGTTTGTAATAGCCAGTGACTACTGATACTCCTCTTTCCTTGCTGATTTTTAAAAATTATTTTATTGAGGGCTCCTACAATTCTTATCACAGTCCATACATACATTCCTCACTGATTTTTAATAAGCATCTTATTTTAATACAGTTATGCATTGTATTTTGATCCTGAGAAGCCAGAAAATTGTCTCCGTATTTGAACTAAGCCTACAATATGAATTTGGGTTATCTTATTTTTATATTAACATCTCTATTTTGTACTGTATGTGGTATGATGCACATATCTGGTCATGGTAGATACATTTGACTGCATTTATTCACAGAGATTTATATAGAGACATAAAAAAACAGGCATAGTCAGTCATGTGTGTTCATTATATATACAGGTTATTGAGGATGCAAAGATATAAAAGATAGGAGAACCTAGTAATTGCCTTTAAGATCAGAGCACAAAGCATTAGTTTGTATTTTACAAGGCCAGCCAGCAACAAAAGAGCAGTAATTTATGAGCTCAGCGTAAAAGAATAGCATAATTACATTAAAAATTAATGCTAATGAACACTAAAATGGGGAAGGTGGTTATGATGAAAGTTTGTATTCATCTTCCCTGGTTTGAATGATGGCTAGTGGCTTGATTAATGGCTTAATTTCTATCAATTAGCGGGGAAAAAATCTCCTGCGAGACAAGGGTAAATTGAGCATTGAATTACATATCTTGCTTTTGTGTGCTAAGAAAAAAGAGCTGCGTATCTCTGATATTAGCCACAGTGACAAATGTGGTGTGCCCGCGACGTCTGCGTTCGCTCTCCTGACAGGCGAGCTGTGTGTGGTTATGGGGTGTTTGGAGATGGCTGGCAGACAGCGCTCCCTGCAAGTTCCTTAGAAACATACAACTCTCCGTCTACAGCAGTTTAATTAGAGTCTGTCGGAATTGTCGAATTAGAATGGACAGCAAGCAGAAACTACGGAGTCTGCATTCTGCCCTGTGAATTTGATACACCTCTAACTATCTTGCTTTCTCCTCCCTATTAAAATAAGAAAACTTCCATGAGGCTTAGCTTTGTTGAAATTATTATTGCTTCACACTCCATTAAAGTGGATTTGACTCTCCATGCTGCTGAGTATATTTGAAACAATGGTAGGGCAGTAGTCTATGTAGTTGACTGTTTGGAGAATGGAGATATAGTGAATGGAGAAAAATATTAACTAACATCAGTTCATTTCAAGTTAAGTATATTTTGAGATAGTGTCAAAGAAAACATAGCATAAATTATTTTCTAATTTGTTGTTACATTTCAAAATCTCACTTTTTCTGGGATGGTACAATGTGCACTCATAATTAGTCTGGACCCCCAAAACCTGATCAAGGGGAAAAGAGCCGAAAACCTCGAATCTCATTTAAGAACAGAGTGTAAAGCGCTGAATTAGGCTGTTGTGGAACATCTGCTGTGCCCCTGCAGAGAACTACACCAAAGCTGACTGCCGCCGGGTGATTGTGACGCATGGCCACCTTATAGGTCAGAGAACCAAGGGGGAATCTGGCCAGCCAGATCGTCAGTGGAGGCAACTATTCCAAATGTGCCTTCCTTGATTTGGCCAAATTCACAGAATCATTCTAGTCTTGGCTCACAGCAATTGTTGCACAATAAATAAAGAACAGACTCTAAAGTTATTTCCCATTGCTCAAGTTGTTTGTAGGTGTAAGTGAAAGACTACGAGGTTTTCTAGTAACTGTGGTCCTTCAGAGCCCTGGTAGCATAGTCGTTACGCATTGGACTGCGATCTGCAAGTTCAGTTGTTCAAAACTACCAGCAGTTCGAACCATGGGAGAGAAATGGAACTTTCCACTCCTGTAAAGAGGTACAGGAAACTCACCAGGGCCGTTCTCTCCTCCCTGCAATGTCACTGTGAGTCAACATTGACTTTGATGGCAGTGAGTGCAGAGTTTGAGTGGTTTTTCACTCTCATTTATAAAAAACGTATTGGAATGTGACATACACAGCTCTTTACACACTTTTATCATATGTGAAAGATTCTGAAAAGCTATCTCAAGTTAATCCCAGAAGAACAAATGAACATTTGAATAACATCTTCTCTACAAATAAAATTAGGTTGTATTTTACTGAATTGATACACATTAAGATGTACAATAAGAAACACTATCAAAAGCACCTATTTCTACAAATGGATGGGGAGGAGGAAAAGAGCTTTTGTTGTTGGCATGGGTGGGTAAAACGTTCATTTGACTGACATTTTGACTGAATTATAATCCAAGTGTTGGATCCTATTTCTGACACCAGCTGGCCATGTCACCGTGGCCAAGTTACTTATCAGCCTTAAATTGTCATTGATAATGAGATCATGATCAAAGGACTATCTATCTGAATGTTATGATAGTTCATGAAAATAATTCTATATAAAATACGTAGTGCAGTGTCATAAACGTAAGTTGTTGCTGCTGTTACAAGAACAGTGCACCTGGCCCTTTCGGTAACTATAAGTCAGAAACTAAATCCTCCCCACTAGAAAGGTATTCCAAATATTGATGATCACACCGACGTGTCGGTGAGCCAACAGACACTACACTAAGCCAAGTTTGCTTTAAAGTTATTTCTGCCATGCAAAGGCCATTTGAGGTCGTCTGCATCGTGAAGCATCCATGGAAACTAATGGGACCTGCGATCCCTGAGCCTCTGGAGCAGGGTAACCATGTGTCCGCCGCGCACAGAGCCCCACTCAGCTGCAGCCTTCACCGAGCCAGAGTGGACCCTGGTGTTAGCTGGGTGGGTAGTAACATGCAGCAGGCCCACCCTCCACTGCTTCCCTCCCCTGCGCCTCCTTTTATCGTCCCCCAGTCCTGCCACAGTGCATGTGCTACCACCTGGCTAAGCTCCAAAAGGGTTACCAACTGTAAACCCTGCTCTTGGAAATTCAGAGGCTAATATGCAATCCTTAGTGAATATCCACCTCAAAGCAGCAGGAAATTATTGCTTTCATTCCGTTCCTAGTGATGGCTGCCATGTAGTCACTGCTCCTTGTGCCTCCATAGCCCTGTGCCGAGCACTTTTCAGCCGTCATTTCCCAGACTTCCCACCCTTCTCTTCTGCTCCAATATCCCTATCTCGAGGACTCTCCTTGGCCACTCCAACGGAGACAGCTCCTGTGCTTCCTTTCTAGCCCTCTACCTGGATTTATTGCCGTCGATATTATTTTATTTACTTGTTTTTCTTTCCCAGATAAGCTCCAGGAGGGAGGAAACTATCGTATTTGTTGCTAAACTCCTCTCTCGCCTCTCTCCTTCGCTGTGACTGTGCCCGCACCACTGATGAGAAAACCAGGACCATCGCAGGGCCTTGGGGCGAGTGAAGTAGTGCAGACAGGGTTTCTACGACTGGGCCCTGACCCTCTGGGCCCAGAGTTCCTACTGTGGGCAGAGATTTTTTCAAAGTTACAGACAAACTCATATAATTTGACATTTCCTCTCATGAAGCTTTGTCAATGTTGTTGTTAATGGTTCTCTCGTGCCCTTTAATTTTCAGTAGCTCAGTAAATGTTTATTGACTGTTTACTAAATAACAGCGCCTCTTACAATAAGTTCAGGAAGTGACAGTAGAGGTATGTGCTCTCTAGCTGGATGGATGAAACTCTCAGGCATAAAAAGATGAACATCCGTGCAGGATAACATATGCTAAGACCCAGATGAATTACAGAAGAGGGCCCTTTTCTCTTGAGCGACAAAAGACAGTATCGCCAAAAGGTGGGCTTCAGGCACGATCTTGAATGACAGGGAGGGAGGATTCAGAACAGGTGACAAGAACTAAAGGAAGCATTCTTGGTAGCTTTCTTTTTTCAATAAATAAAGCCTAATCCGGTGCCAGATTCACTTGCATTTATTAGGAATTCTTCTACATAGGTGTATTAAGTAACAAATTCAAGTTATTCTCATTACTTGATATGATATGGATAACAATTTAACATAAGGTGAGTCTGCCTGGGACCCCTTCCAAAGGAGATCATTGTTAATAGAGACACCTCAAGATCCCCATTGGCATACCTTCTCGAATACGTGTGGCATCAACTTCCAGAAGACTAATAGGCCAGCTCCATTGGGCTCAGGAAGTTTTCTCATCCCACATATTACTTGTGGATGTCAGATCTAGAAACTTGCTTATAAGGAAAGGGGTCTTATGAACAGGTTTAAACTGTTAGATTCCCAGTGTCTGCTGGGTCTGCTTTGTGAAAGAAACTCATTTTCTGTTCTGAAAGGGAAATCCATGGCTGTGTTTTATTACAATTTATGTTTATGAGAAATTATTCTAATAACTTTAGAATTCCACGTTAACTTCATGGGATGTTTATTTGTTAACAAATGTTACTGAACCATTAGCATTACCTACAAATTCACTGGCATGCCTTTTGCTTTTTTTCATTCTTACAAAGGACTTCAGAATACTTCAAAGGTTTTTGTTCTGTTTTTCAGTATCTGTACTATACCACAGAATGGAATTTTATGGATGTTTAAATTCCTGACCACAATTTGAGTCAATTTAATCTGAAAATAACATATTCTTTTGTATTATTCATGTATTTGTAGCAGTGCTATTAGTATATAAATATCCTTTTTTCCTGGAAGAGAAAGAATAACGTAAGTAACTCAATAACTATGGGGCCAACTAACCCAAATTCTCTGTAACATAAAATGCATTTTAACTTTGGGGGAAATTCATAAAATATTAATAGTCCAAAGAAGTCCATTGAAGATAAAATTTTTGTACATAGATCTTTCATGAGACTCAACTTGCCTTGTAGACCATGATTACGCCTTGTGCAACACTGCCATCTGCTGTTGTCAGCGTAGCATTGCTGCCAACTTGGGTTTGGTTTCTTTCTGCCATCTAGAAACGGATTACAATGTAGTCTTCTCAGGTGAAAGGTTCATGTGGAACCTTACCATCTTTATTTACTCATCGTAAATGTGAGTACCATATAGTAGTACTGTAAAAGAAAATTCTATAAATACTGCATCACGTAAACTTGGTTATCAAGTACAACAGAAGAATATAACTTCTGAAGTCATATTAACAGTAGCTAACGAATTATTTTAATTTTCATCATGAAAGGAGTGCAATGATTTTCCAGGCAGCGTTGGATTTTCTGTGTTTGCCTGGATGGTTTTTTGGTCTGTAGCGATTTCACTTTCAGGCTTTTCAATTTTACTATGAAATACGCGTGTCTTTACTTATATCAGACAAACAGTGGATGGAAGTCATTTTATTAGTAATTTGTTTATCAAAAAGCACCAAGGGATAATGTATTATGCTCCCTCCATGTTTACCGTGTTAATGTCTAAAATTGGTCCAGAATGTTGGTTTTCCCTTTAACTTGGCTTTTGCCTTTACTTTTACTTTTGTGCTAAATTGTGTGCTAGGCATTCATGTAGAGCAGCACATCAACCACAACTAGTTTTCATTCTCATTTCTCCAGATCTTAAAATTGGTACAAGGTTTGAAAATGACCAATTGGCATGTGTACTTTAAGAAACTGAAACCGAATCAAAAATCGATGAGTATGAGTGTATAAAGAGTCCCCTTTATCCACGAGGGTACATTTCAAGACCCCAATGTATGCCTGAGACCTCAGATAGTACTTCTTCACTCTGTATCTATATCGTATATATCATGCCTTGCTCTATACGCCCATACGAATGGCAAAGTTTTAACATGTGAATTAGGCACAGTAAGAAATTAGCAGCAAGGACTAGCAGGTGGGTTGCATAGATAGCTCATCTCCACCGAACAAAGGGATTGGTCATGTCCCTGGGTGGACAGAGTGAAAAGCCTGCAGATGACGCTATTCATTTAACGTTTTCAGACCACGGTTGGCTGGTGGGGGGGTGAGGGGGTGAGTAACAGAAACATCGGAAAGTGAAGCCTGAGATAAAGGCGGGGAAACTACTGTTTTGTTCTGCTTCCAAAAAAATTATACAGGGTTATACTTAAGATATACATTTGTATGCATCAAGATTAGAGTTTTGAGTGTGTTGCAATTTGAGAGATTTTTTTTTATGCCTGTTGTTTTCAGATACCATGGAGCTAGGCTATTATAGGACTAGAAACATCAAGCTCCCATGAATCTTACCAATTTTAATTTAAATATCACTTGCTTATAGCCAGGGAATTTGTTCCCACATGGGAGGCAAAAACTACATTGGTTTGTTTTCCTGTGGAAACTGGCTCCCTGTGATATGCTGTACCACTTGCTAACCCCGACATGATTTTCAAACAAGCACAAAGAAAATAATGTTCCTGGTTTTGTTGCTCTTGTGATTGTTTTTCCCCATCTTTCTCTTCCGTCTATTTATAATTTGCCCTCTGCTGTTTTGTTAAGCATCCTGTTCCATCGGCCAACCTCTGTGATAATGCTTTTATTTTCATTAGGAGCTGGTTGTGTATCCAGATTGAAGGCTACAAATTCTACAGTTTTAGACATCAAGTACTGTTTGTGAGCTCACCTCTGACATTTAAAACTAATGATGTGCTTTGCAAACCAAAATGAGAGAACGTTAGAGAAGAAGGAAAAAACAATCCAAGGGATCAAACAGTCAATACATGTGAGACATAATCCTGAAGTCAAAAATTCTGTCTTTTAGCTTGGGAATTAGTGAGTGCAGAATAACATTAGGAAGACAAGTTAAAACTGAAGCATTTTCATATTGACAAAGAAATTAAAGTTGAAATGTGAGCTGCTGTCCATTATGATTCTATGATTTTCTCTGCTATATTCACACCACTGTACATATAACTAGTGGAAATGTTGCCCACAGGTATGGGGTTGATGTGTTCATGTTAGTATCACCTGGGCAAAGAATCTTCTCTTGTTTCATATGCTCAGCTAGTACATTCCAGAATTAAAATCCAGAGGAGCTTTGATTCTAAAGCATGTGGAGCTATCTGTTCTTCCAAGGTACCTTGTCAGTGTTTGCTTTTATGTCGGAAACTGTGACTCTTCCACAGATGGGTGTGTGGCCCTCGCGGCTGCGACTTCCAAGCATTCCATATGTGATTTCTCACATGAGAAAAGACTGTTTACAGCTGTCGGGGACACATCTTCAGAAGTGCTATCTTTCTTATAAATAATGGGATTTTCAGGAGACTGTAAAATGAAATTTGTGGTTGGCCAAAGTTGAGATGAAGAATTTTCAGAAAACATTTTTATTGAATCTAGAAAACCAAATTATTTATAGCAACATTTAACCTTTTCCACTTAAATGCGCTTGGGTGTAAAAAAGATAATAATTACTTTGATGCAAGTAACTCCACTTTATTGTCAAACCAGTCGTTTGAGTTATGTTTGTTTATTTGTTTTGAAAATAAATCCAGCCATTATTCATATGGAGCCCTGGTGGAGTACTGGGTTACCTGCTGGGCTGCAAATGGCAAGACCAGTGGTTCAAACCTAGCAGCCACTCCGGGAGAAAGATGTGTTGAGAAGGATGAGGGCAACAAATGTACAGATGTGCTTCGCACAATGGATGGTTGTGTGCATTGTGATAAGAGTTGTACGAGCCCCCAATAAAATGATTTTAAAACAAAAAATATATACAATTGCTCTTTGACAGAAAGCTCTTATACACACACACACACAGATTTACAGTTTCTCAAGTGCTCTAGAGAAGTTCTGTGTCTTATAAAGTCACTGTAAGTCAGAATTAACTCAATGGTAGTTGGGTTTTTCTTGTTATTCTTGTAAACTCCAAAAATGTTTTCATAATAGATCCTAATTCAGCTCTGTATTCATATCAGCTTAGAGTAGGACTTTTTGTTTTATTCCGTTAGCATGTGAAAAAATGTTTAACATGAACTGATATATTTGTGTGACTATTTATTAAAACAAACACGATAAGGGCAAAAGACAGAAAACCACTCTAATGACCATCAATAGAGCCTTAGTAGGATCTTAAACCGTAAGATCGATTTCCTGATGCCACTGTAAGAGAGAATGAGCAAGTCTATAGACTGCTGTGGAACGATAAGCCAAAGCCAAATCCCCTGCTTCAAGTTGATTCTGACTCCCATCGGCCTTCTGTGGAAGGGTTCCCAGGCTGGAATCTTTGCGGAAGCATATTCACACACAGCTGAGGGGTTCACACCCCCAACCTTTCAGTTAACAGCCCAGGTCTAGCCTCCTGTACCACAGGAATCCTATTCAGGAGTGAGAGTGAAGTTCGGTTGCTAGGTGGAAAAGTAATGGACACAGTGTGTGTGTTCTGCTAATTTTGTATAAGAATAAGGGGATTATGTATATTTCTATTTTCAGGAATAAAGAGTGGAAGGGTTATCCAAAATTTGATTTAAAAGATTACTTCTGGATCAGAAAAAAAGAAATGGGAAAGGACGCGCCTGCCTCTCGCAGTGACATGTAAAATATCATTCAAACCAACCAGCCCAGCCCATTGCCATTGGGTTGATTCACGCTCAGGGCGGCCCCCAACATACAGATTCAGACTGCTTCTGCGGGGTTTCTTGCCTTGAGTCTCCCTGCAGCCGTTCTCCTGCAGAGCCACCGCCTGGGCGTCAGCCCCATGTTAACAACTGAGCTCACGCTGCCTGTACTGCCTAATGCACGGCAAGGTTCTCCCAATTAAAAGCAAATGTTCATCACATAAACAATTAACCAAACAGACATAAAATTCTGCAGAAACATGAAACAAGCCTAACTTCCTATCATCAAGTCAGTGGCGTAATCACATGGAGATTTGTTTTAAAGACTTTAAACTATTTTGACTAAATACCAGTGTGATAAATCCTGAGATCAGCACACACACGTGCGCCCACATTTTTAAATGACATGAAATCATCTTATTAATAATGGTGTATTGAAGCTAATACATCCTAAGAAAAACAAATATGTACTTTGGATCCTATCATTAAAACCGAAGTATTGAGGGGAGCGGGGAGGGAGGGGGAAAATGAGGAGCTGCTACCAAGGGCTTAAGAAGAAAGAAAATGTTTTGAGAATGATGATGGCAACAAATGTACAAATGTGCTTGACACAATGGATGTATGTATGGATTGTGATAAGAATTGTACGAGCCCCCAATAAAATGATTTTTTTAAGAAAAACCTAAGTATTTAGAGTAAGGAAAAAGAGACACCAATGTAAAATCAGCCATTATGTAAAAATCCTGCAGCCTTTCATTTGTTTGTTAATATTATTGCAAACTCCTATTCATTCTTCTCTTCTAAAACATGTTTCCTATCCCACCTACTGACAAGGTTCAGAATTGATGATAGCACAGTATCAATGAACCTGGAACATCTTGTCACCCCTAGAGAGAGAATAATTAGAGCATCAAATATAAAACTGGATGCCCTGGACTGAAATGCATTAAATCTATGAGCCTTTATGAACGTATAATACCCATCTTTGATCTCTTTTGTACCAAAATTAAAAACTAAGGGTATAGAATCAAGAATTTCTTCTGTCGAGATTATATTTCAGTCAATAAATAATCAATGAAGAAAAGTTCTTCATTAAAGAAAAAGCATAGCAGCTAGTAAATACATAAGGAATTGGACAGTCATCACTTTGCAGCTTCTAAGAAAATAATGGATCTAAGCAACAAACATCGCTGTCTGCTGAAACCATTAAGTAGGAGGCTGACAAGGGTACTTTGTAATAGAATGGTCAGACATATCATGTGGAACCCACTGATTAAGCTTAATGTCCATAAGAATGGGGAAAGCACATCTTGATATGATTATTAGGATTGCACAGCACCATCTGTGAAAAAATATTTTGAATCACAAGAAATTGAATCTGAATATGAACAGGACTCTCGATCTAACTCCCAGTCTACACACCATAGGAAGGCCAGAGGAGCATGTTTCTGGCACTAGGCGCTTATGAATAGCCAATCCAGAATGTGGACCAATGTTAGTCTAATTCAGAATACAGGATGTTGTACAGGATAAATGATAGTTTTGTCAATACGTGACAGAGGGACAGTGGTGAGCTGGAAGAGTTGTAAAAGTGTAATTTGTAGCCCTTGCTTGATATTGGTTCAAGTAAGCAAACTATTATGAAAGCCATTTTAAAAGACAGTTCAAGGAAATGAAGCATGGAGTGTATAAAACGGTATTAAAAACTTAATGATAACCCTGTTGGTTTTGAAAATACTATTTTAGTAACTTTGATGTTTAAGTCCTTATCAGAAATGCATGCTAAAATATTTAGGAGTGATACAGATTCACTATGAGTCAGAATTGGCTCAGTGGCAGTGAGTGAGATGGTACGAGATTACTTTTAAATAGTCCAGACCCACCCCCCAAAAGTATTTTTCTAAGCACATGAGAGCTTAAATAAGAATAGTAGAAAGTTAATAACTATGAGGCTGGGTGGAGACTATACGTGGGCTCATTGTGCTTTTACTTTTTTAATGTGTATTTCCATAATAAAAAGCTAAATTAAAAAAACCTCCCACCAGATTAGCTAAAACCATTATAGCAGCGCCTTCTGAGCAATATTTAAGTTTTAGATGAGTCTTAGATTTCAGGGACATATATATGTGGATTTCAGGGTGGGGATGGGGGCTTCTTTGTTAAAGCTTAACTAGAATGCCTTCTCTTTTCATCTAGTTAAATTTTACAAGTAGTCAAATGTCTTCCTAGCAAGAAAGAACATCGCTTCAGTACAGTGTTGTTAACAAGCTTACCTCAAAATATACTGACTTTTTGCCTTCTTTTTTAGATCAAACCACCCTGGTAGAACAAGTGAAAAGAGTCAAAGAAATTGAAGCTATTGAAAGTGATTCTTTTGTTCAGCAAACATTCAGATCAAGTAAAGAAGTCAAAAAGGTAAGTTTTCATCCAGGTGTTATGAATAAACCTTTGGATTCCAACTGAAGAGATACTTTTTTATTGGCTTGTACTTAAATACAAGTGCTGTTTCTAATAGATGTAGTTGGATGAGCACGCCCAGGGATGTTGGAGAAAGAATCGATGAGAATCAGTCCAAATGTGTACAAAATAATGCCATAAAAATGGGCCTGGATAACATTTTTGTTTTCAAATTCACCGAAAAGGCAAAGTAAGATGTCAACCTGACAGCTCTGTAGCAGTAATACATATTTCATGAGCACATCCATCTTTCTTTTCAAATGTATACATCAACTCTCTGAATTGGCATTGTTAGAAAAAAACAGTTCAGACCAAGTAAAAACTGTTACCCAAATAATCATTTCTGTCTACTGGTCACAGCTCTGAACACCCAACGGAGCTCTTCTTCTCTGCACCCTTGGGGTCCCATCACCATGAGTCAGAGGCGACCAACAACTGCATATGTCATTCACCCTCTGTGCCCAGATGGGCACCACTGGCTCAACTCTTAGAAAAGAAGCTTTGATTGGCATTTTATTGATGTTGAATACACCGTGTATGTTTTCGCTCATTAACAGGAGTACATTTAGGAATTTGTTTATGTCCCTTTGGAGTAGGAAAAGGCATTCTACCATGAAATACAAGCATATGTATTCTTTTACTAATATATAATGAAGACATGGCTATAGCCACCACTTATTCAAAAATAGTCAACATCTGTTAGTGTATGAAGTGGCTACATAATATCCTGCGACAGATGAGTCAGCAATCATGTACTTGTTCTCTGTGGTTTAATGTTTAAGTATTTGTAAGTTTGTAGCTATAACATCTCTGTAAGTATCCATTATGACCTTGAGATAAAATTTTCGAGATAGAGATGCTTGTTAAAGGTCATTGTGACTTCTTTCAGTACATAGTCAAAAATCAAAACATTGTACCAATTCAGATGGTACCCAGAGTGCAAGGGAGTGTCTGCCTCTCACACCTTGATCAGCACCAAGTCCCATCAGACTTTTTATGGTGACTGACCTGATAGGTAAAATTTGATCTTTTATTTCATTAGTGTTAATTTTTCTTGATATTTTTTCTTTTTTTAACAAGTGCAAGGAACAGCTTTTCAACTACTGTGTACATATAAAAACAATGCCTTCAGGACAATGGATTGAGCATATACATTGTGCCAGGGTCAGCCTGCAAACCCATGGTCCCTGCCTTGTCGTTTTCTGGGTTTCACTTGAACTTTTTATAATTTGCCACTGCAACTCTAAAACATCACCAGCGAAATGGACATATAGTTCCCAGTTAGCATAATTCTTACTCTTGTATAACATTATACAAGAGTATGTGTCCTAGCAGAGCTTTGACTGGTTTTAATAATTGCTTTCTTGCTATATATATTTTTTTGATAGTTACCCTGCTTACCAGTTCTCTTGAGTCCTCTTATGATAAACCATCATTTTCTTTGTATGGAAATACTTACTCCTCTGTAATTAATGCAATGGATTTTGACCTATAGCAAACAGACCTAGGCACGACAGAATGAAGCACTGTCCGGCCCTGTGCCATTCTACAATGTTTGAGCCTATTGTGGCAGCCCCTGTGGCAGCCCAGCTCCTTGACAGACTTTCCCTTTTTTGACTGACCCTCTGCTGTGCCAAGCATGCTGTCCTTTTCCAGGAACTGATCTCTTTGGAGCACATGTCCAAAGCAAAGTCTACCCATCCTTTCTTCTAAGGAACATTCTGGTTGTACTCCTAAGTCAGATTAATTGGTTGTTTTGGCAGCCCATAGTTCTTTTAGTAGTTTTTACCAACATCGTTCTTTTCTTCACCACCATTATTCAAGTGCATCAGTTCTTCCTTACTCATTGCCCAACTTTCACATGTCTGCGAGGCCTTGGATCAGCGACACATTCATCTTCAAAGTAACACACATCCTTGCTCGTCAGGACTTTCAGGAAGACTTGTACAGCAGATTTGCCTAATGCAGTGCATCATTTGATGTCTTGCCTGTGCCTTTCATGAAGGTTGACTGGATTCAAGCAAAATTAAATCCATAACAAATCCAGTCTCGCCTCGGTTGTTATAAATTGGTCCAGGTGTGATAGTTTGGTTTTTGTCACAATGCGTCATAATCCATACTGATGGCTTCAGTCCTTGATTTTTTCAGTAAACACTTCAATCCCCTTCACTTTTCAGCACGCAAGGTTTTGTCATCTTCATATTGATGGTTGCTAATAAGCCTCCTCCAATCCTGATTCTTCTGCATATAGTACAGCTTCTTTATTAGTTGCTCAGCATAGAGATTGCATACGTTTAGTGAAAGGATTCAACCCTGATACACACTTTTCCTGACTTTAAACCATGAACTATTACATGTTCATTTCGTACAACTGCCTCTTGTTCCGTGTAAAGGTTCCACGTGAGCACAATGAAGTGTTCTGGAATTCCCATTCTTCTCAATGATATCCATGGTTGGTTATGACCCTCAGAGGTAAAGGCCTAGGCAGAGTCAAACACAATGAAACACCTTTCTGTTAGCTTATGGCACATATTCTTCTAACTCCAAGGTGACTTTCCGACAGCATCCTGCCCATGGACTGCTGCACCCCTTGTCGGATGATCTTCAGAAAAATTTTACTTGTGTGTGGTATCAATGATGCTGTTCTTTGATTTGCACATTCTGTTTGAGTCACCTTTCTTTGGAATGGGCACAAATATAGATCTCTTCCAGTCAATAGTCCAAGTAGCTGCCTTCCTGGCATGGATGGGTGAGTGCTTCCGGTGCTTCATCAGCTTGTTGAAATATCTCAATTGGTATTCCACCAGTTCCTGGAACCTTGTTTTTGACTAATGCTTTCAATGTTCCTTGGACTTCTTCCTTCAGTACCAGTGATTCTTGATCATATGCTACTTCTTGACATGGATGTCAACCAGTTCATTTTGGTACAATGATTCTGTGTGTTTCTTCCATTTCTTTTGATGCTTCCAGCAACATTCAATATTTTGCCCATAGACTGTCCCAATATTTTAACTCAAGGCCTGATTTTTTTTCTTAAAATTTTTCAGCTTGTGATATACTGAGCAGCCTCGTCCCTTTGTGCTTTCTAACTCCAGGTCTTTGAACATTTCATTATAACACTTTGTCTTGAGCTCCCTTTGACAGTTTCATTCAGCTCGTTTCCTTCATTATTTCTCCCATTTGACTTAGTTAATATCCCGTGTGTTTTCTAAACCAAAGGTTTTTTCCGACCTTAATATTAAGGTATATATTTGTGTTTAAACTTATTTTTAATTCAATGCCACTTTTCTAAGTGTTAGCACCTTTTCCAATAATTGAGTGAGCTCCTGTGGCGCAATAATTTAAAAACTGTGCTGCTGACTAAAAGATCAGTGGTTCAAAGCCAGTTACATCAGTTGGTTTCTGCAAAATGCACAGCCCTGGAAACCCTCTAGGGCAGTTCTCCTCTGTTCTGCCTGGTCACTATTAGATTGGACAAACTTGTTGGCAGTAGGTTTGGTACAATAATTGGCAAGCAAGGATTAATTAAGAGCTTGCTTAATATTATAGCTCAAAAGGCAGGACATGGATCAAGAGACAGTTAAGTAAACAGAACAAGGGAATGCTGCATGGTTTAAAATCACGAAAGTGCACCAGAGTTGGATCTGCTCCCCATTCGTATTCAATCTCTCTGCTGAACAAATCATCAGAGAAGCTGGATTTCATGAAGAAGAGTGCGGCATCAGAATTTGAGAAAGGCTTATTAACAGCCTGCAATTTGCAGATGACAAAGCCTTGCTTGACGAGAGAGAACCTGAAGAACTTATGATGAAGATCAAGGACGGCAGCCGTCAGCGTGTGGCTTACAGCTCAAGGTAAAGAAGACCAGCTTCCTCAGAAGTGGATAGAGAAAAGATCCAAGTTGTCAAGGGTTTTTTCTTGCTTGTCTTGCACAGTCAATGCTCGTAGAAGCAGTAGGCAGGAGATCAAAGGACTCATTGCATTGGGTAAATCTTTTGCACAAGACCCTCTTTAAAGTGTTGAAAAGCAAAGATGTTACTTTGAGGGCTAAGGTGCATCTAGCTAAGCCATGGTATTTTAGGGCACCTCATATACATGTGAAAACTAGATATTGAATAAGGAAGACCAAGGAATTAATGCATTTGAATTATGGCGCTGGCCAAGGATATTGAACATATCATCATAAAGAGCTGTCTTAGAAGAAGTACATCTAGAATGTTCCTTAGAGGCAAGGCTGGTGAGACTGCAGCTCGTGTACTTTGAACATATGGTCAGAAGAGACCGGTTCCTGGGGAAGGACTGTAGCATCCAAAGCAAAGTCCCAGGGTGTGGAGATGTGTTCGACGGCTAGTCGGAAGGTTCAGGCCCGCCCTGAAATGCCAAGAAAGACAGAGCTGCTCATCTGCTCCCCAAAGATTCCAGCCTTGATGACAGCCCCGGAGGACAGTTCTACTCCACGCACACCACCACGGAGGCCAGCAACAAAGCCTCTAACTTATTTGATACCTCTGAAATGATTCTGTAAATTAAGCATAGTTCTTAAAACTTCGGTTACTCTGTGTATTCAGCTTGTCTGAAATATAAACACCTTACCCATTTACATATCCCTGATGTTACCCTGCTTTTCCCAACTCTCCTCGCTCACCAGTAAGGCCTTATTGAGAAACACTGAAGTTCTTTATAGCTGGTCTTACCACAAAAGTTTTTTGAAAGGCATTAGTGCATTAATATTTGTATAGTTGAATTTCTGTATTAATAATGTTTTCCCTACTATATCCTATAGAAAAGTTTTCAAAGATAACTAAATGCAACCGAAAAAAAATGTGCTTGTCAAGTTTATAACAAAACTATAGGGTCATAGACCCCTGCTCAAAGAGATCCCATTATTATATGTTTTAATAATTAGCTTCTGTTTGCACTCTCTGATGTTTTGCTAGCTCTGTAACTGCCGTGTTGGC